TTTATAGAACTAAAGATATACTTGCCAAAGTGAACCAGAATACTCCTGTCAGGCAATTAGGTTATCTCTTCCAGGAAAAAAGTTCACTTAATTAGGGTCAAGAGAGAACTAAGATAAATAAATTATTTTATTTAATTATTATTTCAATGATTCTTTATTGTTGAAAGTATTACATATGTCTTCTTTTTTCCTCCCATTGACCCCCTTCAGACTGCCCCCGCCCTCCCCAAACCCCACCACCCCATTGTCTGTGTCCATGGGCCATACATATATGCATACAAGGTTCATGGTTGATTACCTCCCACCCATGGGTTAATCTTCAACCCTCCCCCAAGATTCTGCACTCTGTTTCATACTTTGAGTCTCTGGATCCACTCTGTTCATACATTTATTTTGTTACTTAGATTCCATGGATACTTGTTTTTCTCTGGCTGACTTATTTCACTTAGCATGATATTCTCTAGGTCCCTCCATGCTGTCTCAAAGGGTAAGAGATTTTTTTTTTTTACTGCTGCATAGTATTCCATGATATAAATATACCAGCGCTTTTTTATCCACTCATGTACTGATGGGCACTTGGACTGTTTCCAGACCTTAACTATTATAAATTGTGCTGCTGTGAACATAAGGGTGCATATATTCTTTCTGATTGCTATTTTGGGTTTCTTAGGATATATTCCTAGAAGTGGAATCACTGGGTCAGATGGCAGTTCCATGTTTAAGTTTTTGAGGAAACTCCATACTGTTTTCCACAGTGGCTGCACCAGTCTGCATCCCCACCAGCAGTGCACGAGGGTCCCCTTTTCTCCACATCCTCGCCAGCACTTGTCATTTGTGGATTTGTTGATGGTAGCCATTCTGAGAAGTGTGAGATGGTATCTCATTGTCATTTTGATTTGCATCTCTTGGATGATTAGTGACTTGAGCATTTTTTCATGTCTCTTGGCTTTCTGTACGTCCTCCTTGGAGAAGTGTTGATAAATTATTTGCGAGATTTCAAGTTGTGATAGTCTTACATGTTGCATTTAACAGAGGAGTCTAATTATGGCATTTAAAGGCTATTAGTAGTGACTCTGCAATAAAAATTTCTTATTCATGCAATAGTCAATTTCTTGACCTGCCATCTCTCCTAGGTGGCTCTCCCCCAAATAATGACTTAGAAATTGTTTTCTTTCTTCTTATGGCTCCACTGCTCTCCCCCACTCCTCACCCCCCATCTTGGACTTACCTGCTGTATCTTTTGCATTTGGCCAGATGACAGAGCAAGATAATGGGAGGACCTGGTCTAGGAGAGGAGCATTTATTACTTTTGCCCACATTTATGCCAGTTTTCAATCATATATTGCCACCTAACTGCAAAGGAGGCTAATAAGTATTGTGTAGCTGTGTACCCAGGAGGAAAAGGGAACAGTGTGCTAGGTAACTAACAGGTCTTTGCCACATACTGTTCTCTATAGGAACAGCTATGTCAAAAGACTTGGAACATATATACCAGCTCACTTGGGCACCTGCTTCCCTGGGCTGACTGGAGACACATTGACAGATCTTCACAATCTAACTCTTTTTTGCAATTATGTCTTCCTCATCATCAAAACCACTGCCAGTGATAATCCTTTATCATCCTAGTCAGGTTGCATTTTTCCAGATTCCTGCTTATTATATAATACATATTAATACTACACCTTTCTTTTCTGGGACATTCTCTAGGCCATGTGCTGAAATTCGGAAGGGACACAATCAACACTTTCTCGAATAAGTAACTTGTTGAAAACTTTACCACAAAGGGATAAGTAGTCCATTTTACAATGTTTCATGTTAGTCTTAGTTCCAGAGATTGAAATTTTCTTCTTGACCCCAAATCCTGATAGTGCATTGTACTCAAACTTTTTAGCTTTCTAGTATAATTTTTGTGTCATTAGTCAAAAGCACTACCCTTGTATCTTTCAGCTTTTTTACTATTAAGTGATACACAAAATTTAATAAGATATACCGTCATTTTACACTAAAAAATAATTCACATGAGTATTGAAACACAGCATTTTTATCACACACAAAAAAATGTTTCTTTTTCTGGGATCTTAGGCTATTACAAGCTGTCTAGTTGTCTAAAGTTTATTATAATTATTCCTATAAAATAGTACATGAAAAAAATTTTATGTGTGCCCTGTTATTGAAATCTACTTGGGTTGAAATTAAATAACCTCTGCATGAAATTTTTAAAAGATAATTATTCATCTCCTACTAGTATACCACCTAGAAAAATAATAGAAGAAAAGAATAACGAATTTATAGAAAAAACAAGTACCTAGAAATAATTCATTCAACACTTTTGTGCATAAAATTAGCAAGGAACAAAACAAAGTAATTCATAACCCGAGGGATAGAGTATGTGACCATTAAATTCACATTTTCATGCATATAAAACAATTACATTACAGGTGTTCACAATATCATTTCAAATGAAAAAGATTACTAGTCATAAAAACAGTAAGGTTCTATTGTGATGTGTATTGTGTGTTTGTATGTGCATGTATCTGAAAGATGCACACACACACACACACACACACAAGATAAAAACATAATGTAACATGTATGCCATCTGGAATAAGGATCAGTATTTTACATCTAATTATTCATTATGTCACTAAACAACCCAATAGCATTTTGCTGTTGACAACTTCTGCAAGAAGCATGAACTACTTGCTTCTTGCAGAAGTCTCTAACTACTAATTTCTTGGATCTCAGCTTCCTCATCTATAAAGCGAGAAAAATCACAGTAACTTTAGACAGGCTTAACTAGGTATATATAAAGCACACTAAAATACTGCAGCATTTAGTTGGATTGCCAGGAACTTTTCAATGTTATTTATATTTGCTTTGCTATTTATATAACCGGAGGCATATCCCCTTTCATAATAATGGGAGAGCTACCATCTGTTGGACATAGTACTGTATGGCCAACACTTTACTATGTTATCTTATTTAATCTTCACAACAGGCTTGTGAGGGAATTTTATCCCTGTTTCCCTCGTGGTGAACTGGGACACAGAGAGGTCAAGTGATTTGGCCAAGATCAAACAGCTAGTAAGTCACAGAGTAAGGACTTTATCCTTGATCTGTCAGACTCGTTAAGCCCATGCTCTTTCTCCTGTAACACATGGCTCTGTGCTTAGCAAGAGGCTCTCCTCCTGATACAAACATTCAAAGTGTGCAGTTGCCAAAAGATTAACTTCCTTTTAACAACTTGTCCATGGGAGAATGACAAAGAAAGACAAATACTGCAAGAGTGAGGTAAAAGTTTATAATTTGTCAAGCGCCTACTCTGAAAAGTCCTAAAGAAACGTATTGTCTTGTTGAAGTGGGTACAAATATATATTATGAAAAACTTAGGAGTCCTGGATATCTTCCAAACCTTGCAAACACTTCCAAAATTTAAGTTATCTTTCCTCCCAAACTGATTCCTTTCCCACTATTCTCTAACGGTGACATCATTATTCGTCCAATCACACAAGCCGTGTTCCCCTCCGCTAACTATCCGCATCAAGTCACAAGAAGAGTTGTGTTGACTTTACCTGTAATATGTTTCTTGAATATGTCATCTTTTTTGTATTTCATCATCTCCACCTTAGTGTAAGCCTTCATTCTCTCTTGCCCTAGATCATTACAGTGGACTCTTGAGTCTCCTTCCAAGTTGTATGTCATGCCACTATCGAAATTATCTCTCTAGATAACAGACCTAAGCATGTTGTTTCCCTGCTAAAAAAAATCTTTACCATCTCACCATTCTCAGCCTATGGATCCTTTAACATGGCTTCACACGGAAGCCCCAGCACTATTTCCAGCCTCATCCCCTATTTTCCAGTCCTACACCCTACAGTCACTACATCAAACTATGCGTAGTTCCTCAAACATACTAAGTGTTCCCACACCCTTATTTAGATTGTACACTGTCCCTGCAAATATATATATAGTATAGTAGGGCCTCACAAATCTGGTCATGTCAGGGCATAACTGTTATTTTAAGAGTATATTTAAAACATAAGTCTCTATTCATTCAATGTTGAGCTTCTAACATCTATTTACTAGAGCCTTATGTACATAGTGGATGTTACTTTAGAAAGTTAATTCAGAAAATCCATCGATGAAAAGGCATTTATGTAATCAGTTGGAATAAGGAAGTAGAAGACTTTACAAAGATAAATGAAATTGGAAGAGCAAGTATGAAATGGATTATGAAATCAAGAATGTCATGTTTGGATTTCAGTTCTATCGCAAGCCTTCTTGACATTTTAAAGGAGTTACTGATTCTCAAATTATTATTCTGCTTAGCAATAGCCATTTCCATCCATCTGAATACTGATTTTTAACAAACAACATATTATTTTAAATGTTTACATTTTTGTCCCCTCCCCAGGTGTTCTAGTGAATATTCCTTTTTAAAAATATATTCCTTTATTGATTTCAGAGAGGAAGGAAGATGGAGAGAGAGATAGAAACATCAATGATGAGAGAATCATTGATTGGCTGCCTCCTGCACGCCCCCTACTGGGGATCGAGCCCACAACCCAGGCATGTGCCCTTGGCCAGAATCAAACCTGGGACCCTTCATTCCGCAGGCCAAAGCTCTATCCACTGAGCCAAACTGGCTAGGGCTAGTGAATATTCTTTGTGTAATTAATTAATCCATTATGACTTATTTGTTTATTGGCATTTTCTCTTATTGAAGGATTTATAAGCACAAAATTATTTAGCAAACATCTGCCAGTAAAAAGTATAAGCCACAAATTACAGGACACTTATTTACATTCCTCTTTTTTTCAGCTTACACACTACAGTGACATTTTAAAGTTGGGCAACTAAATTAGAATTAGGCTTTGGATCCAATTCAAACTCAACTTTTTGAGCTCATATTTCTGTTCTCTTTACCCTCTGGGTTTAATTTCTCTGTGTTTACATTATATGCAAATGTGTTTATCATTACTGTTTATTTACTACCACAGGAATCAGTTTGAAGCCTCCTAATTCTGGAAATGGTTTTCTCAAAATAAACCCAGATCATATTGGGTTTTATCGTGTAAATTATGAAGTATCAACTTGGGACCTGATCATTACCAGTCTTTCCTCCAACCACACGGTAAAAAAGCAATGACTGGGACTTGTTTTACTTTTGTTCTAAGAACAGCATCTTAACACTTGGCTTTAAGAATCACATTTCTTACCTCTTTTTCTCTCTCTTCCCAGGGCTTTTCTTCTGCTGACCGTGCAAGTTTTATTGATGATGCTTTTGCCTTGGCAAGGTGGGTTTTAGAATGAGGTAGATCATTTAAAATACCGTGGATTTTGTCACAAAATTTATATATATATATAAATTTTATATATAAAATGCCCCACAATGGGGATTGAGCCCACAACTAAGGCATGTGCTCTGACCAGGAATTGAACCATGACCTCCTGGTTCATATGTCAACGCTCCATCACTGAGCCACGCTGGCTGTCACAAATTTTTTTAACGAGTTAAAACAGAATTTAAGAGTGAATGTTAGTTTAAAATATCCAAAGCAACTATTTATAACATTATTGTTTTCTTTAATGTGTTTTTGTGTGTGTGTGTGAAGTTCATATGATCCTCATAGCCAAAATACTGATATTAGCCCTTAATACTAATGATGACTGTAGCAATAAAAATTTTACAATGGGCTTCGGCTCACTTATACTGTTGACTTCGAGCAGGGTTTGTCTATATCAAATCTTGAGCTAATTATGAGTGAAATTTTCAAATGCTTAAAAGTACACCTTCATAATTTACTTTAGTAAAAAGGCAAACAATGTGTTTTATAAATTCATTTCTGTGAACTGAAGCCCATGGTAAAAGTTTTATTGCTACAGTCATCAAATCTTGTTCAGGTCATTGGGACAAGAAGAATGAGGCACGGTCCTCTTGGACTGATCAGAATTAAGACACCATTAGAAATTTTGACTTTTTTTTTTTTTCATGGCCTGAAGGTAATCTACATTTAAAAAATAATCAACACAGATTGGGAGAATGGAGGAGTAACCATAGTAACTCTGAAGGTTTTTTGTTTTTTCCAGGTAGCCTAGCTCCATTAATTCAACAAGTATTTGTTGGAATTTGTGACACTGGTAGGAGCCAGGGACACAGCTAACTTGTTCTGCTGGCTGTGTAGTGGCTTCATGCTAGATACAAGCAACGTAGCGCGAAGGAGATGCCACTTTCTCAGGAAGCCTCCGGTGGCCCTTTGGGCTGGGTATTTTCCCACAACATGTATTGCCATTGCTTAGTAACTGTCCATCTCACTCACCAAACTGGAACTATGGTGAGAGTGAGCACCCAGATTATGGTCCTCTTTATTTTATCCCCAGCTCCTGACTGTGACGCACCATAGTGAATGTTCATGAAATAGGAGCTGAGTGCATGGCTGGAAGGATAGCGTAATAACACTAACGGCATAGGGGAGTATGCCTCCAGACTTCCTCAGTAGACTACTGGAAATCAGAAAATGTTCTTAACATTTTTATTTTTAGGATTTTTAAAAAATTGTTGACACTATTATAGGTGTCCCTATTTCCATCTCCCTTTTGCCTGCCTTCACCAGCCCCTGTCCCCCCTTCTTTCTAGCCATCGCCACATTGTTGTCTGTGTCTATGCGTTATGTATAGATGTTCTTTGGTTAATCCCTTCACCTTCGTTCTCCCAGTTCTCTCCCCATTTCCCTCTGACAGCTGTCAGTCTGTTCCATGTGCCCATGCCTCCATTTCTATTTTGTTCATCAGTTTATTTTGTTCATTAGGTTCCGCATATAAGTGAGATCATGTGGTATTTGCCTTTCTCTGATGGGCTTATTTCACTTAATAATCTCCAAGTCCATCCATGCTGTCTCAAATTTTTTATAGCTGCATAGTATTCCATTGTGTGAATGTACCACAGCTTTTTATCCGCTCATCTACTGATGGGCCATTGGCTATTGTAAATAATGCTACTATAAACATAGGGGTGCCTATATTCTTTTGAATTGCTGGTTTGGGATTCTTAGGACATAGTCCCAGAAGTGGAATCTCCGGGTCAAAAGGCATTTCCATTTTTTATTTTTTGAAGGAACTCTTACTATTTTCCACAGTGGCTGCACCAGTCTGCATTCCCATCAACAGTGCAATGAGCATTCCCTTTTCTCCACATCCTCACCAGCACTTGTTTGTTGATTTATTGATGGTAGCCATTATGGCAGGTGCGAAGTGACATCTCACTGTAGTTTTAATTTGCATCTCTCTGATGATTAGTGACATTGAGCATCTTTTCATAAGTCTATTAGCTACCTGTATATCCTCTTTATTGACTTTTTTAAGGAGGAGCATTATAGGGTTAAACAGGTTCTCGAGCCAGATTAAAATCCTGCTTCGGTATAACCTTGAGTAAGTGTCTTAACCTCTCTCTGGCTCAATTTCCTTATTAGCAAAATGAAGATGACTTTATAAGACTCTTGAGGAATAAATGAGGTAATGCACATAAAGCAATGAAAGCATGGCAGGCCTTTAAGGCCTGTGAGAGTGCTCAATACATTGTAAAAATACATCCACCATTGATCAGTAGCAACAAAGAAGCATTTATGTAGAAAAGCTCTTCTGAATTTGTAATGTAGATTCCCTTTATAGGTAATAGACATTATAATCCCCTGTAGTGAATCTCCAAGTTTAACCTCCTGAACATATAACAAATTAATTACAGTCGTTGGCCCTTATTCGAGATGAGATTTTGCTTTTCACAGTTTCAGTTACTTGTGATTTACCGGAGTCTGACCCATAACTTTTATTACAGTATATTGTTATAATTGTTCTGTTTTATTAGCAGATGTTGTTAATCTCTGACTGTGCCTAATTTATAAATTAAACTTTTCACAGGCATGTACATATAGGAAGATACACATACACACATGTAGAATATATCCTCTATGGAAAAGGGGGGACTATATTGTATATTCATTATATTACAGTTTTTCAGTCACTCATTTAATAAATATTTATTGAGCACCTACTCTGTACCAGGCACTGAGTAGACCTGGGAAATTAAGTGATGAAAGAAGATCAATATTTTAAGACATAATAGAACCACTTAGATTTTTTTTTTTTAGGAAAACTCTCCTGTGAATACAAAATGATCTTTTCCAAAGCTTAGCATCTTTGCTGTTAAAAAGTACACAGAGATTGTAATATCTTTATAGCTTAATTCCCATCACAACACAACACACAGTTCTTTGTGCTTTAAGGAGCCAAAGCCTCTTGAGCAGTTCTCTCAACCGCGTGTTAAGCCGATAACTCGCACAGTGAGAGACTTTCTCACATTTGCTCAGCCCCTTGGCCATGCCCCGTAACATTTTGAAGAGCTTCAGAAAGAAAGAAAGTGAAACACACTTGAAAAAACAAAAATATCAAGAATCACACAATAACCAGTCCAGGAGACAACTGAGTTATGGCCTTAGCTATGGAGCTATTGTCCAATTTCCTTCTGCAAAACAGGACTCAGAGAGGGACAGACTGCACCAGTTTTATTAGAGATGGGTCCAGACCAGTCTGAAATGTTAGGCAGGAAAAAAAAAGGAGAAATGTGTAGTTAGACAGGTAAGTGCCTGTGGTGGGACTAGAATTTATGCAGATCTTCTCAGGTGTTTAGAAAGAAATGTAACTCATGTTTCATAAGCAGGACTGAAAGGGTGCATCTAAAAATACATGTATTCTTGATTCCCCCGTCCCCAGATTTGAGGAGCTAGTACTCTTACTGCCCTAGATGGAATATCTAGCTGGACACATTAGTTAAGATAGGGAGTAAAAATTCATCCAGTCACTTTAGTCTCCCAAACAGTCTCAGTTCATCAAATGCCCAGCCCAATGAAACCATCAACATTTTCAATGTCATTTAAAGTTATTTCCAGCCCCCCAGGAACAATGTGCTTGATTTCCTCTCCATTTTCCTGTGTGAAGTTTCTACTTCTCATTATGCTGCCTCTGGTTCCTCCAGCGTTGAGGCAGTGAGAGCAGGTGAAGGGAGGAACACTCCCAACATGCAGTTTGCTCTTGCTCCTCTAGACCCTGTGACATTTAACATGGACTCTCCTCCTTCTGTGCTCACACCATTCCATGGCCAAGGGTGTTTCTCTTGCAGTTACCTTGAGGGGCAGGTGAACACCACTGACTCACTCTGGTCCATAGCAAGTATTCATCCATCCTGTGCCCCGACGAAGTCTGAAAGGACAGGCCACCCAGGCAGTCCCATCTCTTCACTCTGAGATCAGAGCACTAGCCAGACATGGCCTCTTGTCCTATAGGTTTCTCGGGGTGTAAGACACCAGACCACTATGCCTCCAAGCTCTAGGATACACCTTTAAATTTTTCAAGTGTTCCCATTAAAGGCCCCATTTCCTAGGCTTAATATGAAGGGACACCCTCATAGTACACTGACAGCACTCCCAAAAGCCCTCTTCTACAAGGTCACTCTCTCCCCCTTAGCCGCTCCACCCTCTTCATTAGGATGGTGGTGTGTTATTAGCAAAGGGTCATAAAACCTGTTCCTGACCATGTCAGCTCCCGTTTGGTGGGCCTGCATCTTGCTTTGGAGAATAGGCCAAAGGGCCTAGTTTGGGGGCCTTGCCAAAACTGAGACAGAAAAAATCCTTTGTTGTACAGCTGTTGCAGTAGGTTTTATCCTTTTCAATAGCTTATGTTGTGCTCTGCAGCCCACTGTGTGCTAAAGCCAGGGGATGGATCAAGATTAACATAAAGGAAAGCAAAAGGCTGGCTAACAAACCCAGGAGTAGGAGCAGGAGTTTCTGGGTGAGGAAAGAGTGGCACAGAAGACAGCTTAACAGACCACCTAAGCCCTGATGAGACAGAATTCCAGCCAGTTTTTAAGGACCAGTGGCTCCAATGATATGCAAGGTGACGACCAGGTTAGCAATAAAGACCTCCAGGTGAACACCAACCATGTCAAGATATTCAGCTTTGCCATTTTATTTTATTTATTTATTTTTAAATATATTTTTATTGATTTCAGAGAGGAAGGGAGAGAAATAGAAACATCGATGAGATAGAAACAGCAATCCACTGCCTCTTGCATGCTCCCTATTGAAGACTGAGCCTGAAACCTGGGCATATGCCCTGACTGGGAATCAAAGCATAACCTCCTGGTTCAGTGCTGATGCTCAATCACCGTGCCACACTGGCCAAGCAGCCTTTTTTATTTTTTAAAGAAAAGGGGGAGCCGAAACCGGTTTGGCTCAGTGGATAGAGCGTCGGCCTGCGGACTGAAGGGTCCCAGGTTCGATTCCGGTCAAGGGCATGTACCTGGGTTGCGGGCACATCCCCAGCGGGGAGTGTGCAGGAGGCAGCTGATTGATGTTTCTCTCTCATCGATGTTTCTAACTCTCTATCTCTCTTCCTTCCTCTCTGTAAAAAATTAGTAAAATATGTTTAAAAAAAAGAAAAGAAAAGGGGGAGTAGGAAAATGAGGAGAGATAAAATGGGGTCGAGTTGATAGCAAAGAGACTGTTTTAAGCCGGAAATCTGAATTTAATTGGCAAGTTAATGTCAAGAGACCAGTACATGGGAACTTTCCAAAACTCTCCACACCACCTGAAGGCTCATGAATGTGGGTCAGTTCCATCCACTGAGGCACCTCTTTCAATTGTTCTACTGCCCCAGTCAAGAGCCATGTTTACCAAGACACCATGCTAAACCTGGGCTTCTCTGAGTTGGGGACTGTGCAGTCTTTTCAAGTCACACCAGGGAAGCAGAAACAAACCTTTGATATAAGAGTCCTCAAACTTCCTCCATGCCTCAGCCGGAGATAGGAAGACCTCTTAGTCCTCTTCTTCTCCATTGAGTCCGGTGGGAGCTTTCTTTGAGTTACAGCCTCCATCTTCTCTACACTCTGAATTATAGGAAAATTCTGATTTGAGTCCTTCAGGTTGGGTTCTCACTATGTAAATGGAAGATTTTAGAACAAAGAAAATTCTCAAGTCTGGCTTTCAGAACTGCTGTTTGCTATGGATTTAAAAAGAAATGGAACTTGAGACTCAAAGTTGAGTAAGAATGCTGTCTTAGGTGGAGTTCCCTAGGTGCAGAGTCTGAAATGAGGGTTCTTTACCTGTGGTATTGAAGAGTGCTGGCTTGAGGTAGAGAATGCAAGAAACATGATGGGGAAGGAGGAAAAGCTGAGCAAATATATGGTCTCATTTGGAATCTAGCTTTGCCAGATTCTACTAGGAAGCTTTGAGTTGTACCACAGAGTGGAACCAACTAGAGAGACGCAGGCTGGCTAGTGGCATTCCTGAATCAGATGATTGATTTATGGTCAGGAGTGAAGGCTACATAACCTCTTAGAAGCAAGATAGATGTATTTGGCCAAGGGCTATTGCCTGAAGAAGGTGGTAGCTGTGAGCTAACACAACATTGTAAGGCTATCTGGGTAGGACACTATAGATTTCTTTGTTGTAAAAAGACAGTTCTTCACATGTAATCCTAGCAATATCAGCATCGCCTAGCAACTTGTGAGCAATGCAAATACTTAGGCCCTATTCAAGACCCGCTGAATCAGAAATTCTGGGAATGAGGCCCGAGAGTGTGTGACTTAACCAACTTTCCAATGTTGCTGATATATGTTCAAATTTGAGAAGCATGGTTCTAAATGGTATTGCTTTTCCTCTGACATATCAAATACTACTGATTCCATGCATAAGAGTTGCAGAGTACATTATTTTAATTCTCAAAATATTATCATCTATAATATCAAGCATCAAAAATTCACTCCCAGTCCAGTGTTCTAACCTTATGACTTAGACTTAAAGAAAATGAGTGATATCAAAGTGGAACTATTGCAAAGCTATCAAGTGTGCTGGAAAAATAAGATGCTAAGACAAGATATTGATTTTTTAACATTTGAATACATAATACTTAGGACCTCTAATCTGTGAATTATTAGATTCCCTCCTTCCATTTATGGTATCCAATTACCGAATTTTTCTGGTCCTTGTAACCAAGACCCTTCTAATCTTTTCACCTGCCAGAAATGTGCAACCCACTTGATTTCTGACCAAGTTATCTGCCATTCTTCCTAAAATTTCATTAACCTCTTTGCTAATTTGATCCTTAGAGCAACAACTATTCTTCGAAAGTATCCTAAGAAAACACTGATTAGATGTGATTGTTGCTCTATCCTCAAAGAAAATAGAAAATCATTAAAATTAGAAAATTATCAAGTTTCACATGTTAGCACAACTTCTATAGTTTTTACTTAATAAACATTCTCAATAAAACACTCCATTTCTCAATATTATTTATTCTTTTATTAAGGGAGGCTGAATTATCCAAAATATAACCCCTTGTAAATCAAATCAGAAAATGAGAAATCAGCTTTCTGAACTGAAAAGAAAACTCTGTATCATATCTCATTAGTAAAAATCATATGATGCTAAAGATTTTAACACTTATCTGTCCAATGCTAGTTCATCCTCTAATCAAGCTCTTAGGAAGAAGTCATGATATAATTACATTATTCTTTATTCACAAAATGACCTCAAACATAATAGCACTCAGTGCATCAGTATTACTAATTCAATAATTTAAAATGTATTCTTTAATTTAAACTTTCAAAATGTAACTTGGAAAAATAAGATTCCCATAAATTTAAGCTAGAAATTGAAGCATGACAGTTTTCTAAGAACATGACTTCAAAAGGTTCTAGAATCTCTTTTGAGGAAGATATTGGATTCTTTAAACTTTGAAATGTCAAAAGTAACTTCAAATGTCCTGGAGGAACAAAATCCACTTTTTATTTAGCCTTATTATTGGTAAATGTATAAAAAAGGAGATGTTTTATGGGAAGTATAAATGCACTTGAAATGTTTTAAGCATTCATGATTTGTGAGTACTGTTATTCAGGTTTCCTCTTCATTTCAAATTCAAATCATTTCAATAAGATACATTTATAATGGTGTATTTGGCTATTATAATTAGCTTATGAAACTAAAATTTAAAAGTTTTTATTCACCAATATTAACCACATTGCTAAGTGGCTTTTGTTTCATCTGAAATTTTGCCACAGGGATTTTTCAAATGTGTATCTTAATGTTCTGTCTTCCCCTTAACTATTGGACATTTGAAAATATATCACTGTGAGGAAATCTCTTTGATTAGGCTTCAACCATACATGCATTTTATTAATCATGTAATAGAAGGATTCTCATTAACATTGAATTCTATAGTCCCCATATTAGTTCTTTGAGTTAAACGGAAACTAATTTATCTTTTTAATTAACTGTTTTGTTTTTCCTTCCTTAGAGCTCAACTTCTAGATTATAAGGTGGCTCTGAACTTGACCAAGTATCTCAAAATGGAAAAGGACTTTTTACCATGGCAGAGAGTTATTTCAGCTGTCACCTATATCATTAGCATGTTTGAAGATGATAAAGACCTTTACCCTGTGATTGAGGTGATGTGAATGGCTTTTCTTATGAAAGTAAATGTTTAGTCATTAGCAGAATAGGAAAATTTCTGAGGGAAGAAGCTCCTGGGAGACAAGAACATATCTTCCTTTCCAAGTGAAATCAAAAGAAAGTACAATGACTTGACTAGTCAAAGCAGAGATGCTATTTATTTTTTCAGCTTGAAATGTATCAATATTTCTGGCTCAATGTACCCCTTAAATGTATATTTTAGTGTTATAAGGAATCCAATAATTAATACTTCATTTAAAATAGGCAACACTTTAAACCATAGATACTAACTAGAGCCTATTTTCACTGTATTCATCTAGGTCAAAATGAATTCATTCGTCCCAAAATATAACATTACTAGAGGCCCAGTGCACGAATTTGTGCATGGGCGGGCCTGCCCCAATCAGGCCCGATCAGGGCCGGGCCAGCTGGGGAGTGGGGCCACAGGCGATTGGCTGGCAGGCCCTGCCCCCGAATGGGGTGGCGGGGACCGATTGGCAGTCAGCATCCAGGCGAGGGGCCATGGGAGGTTGGCTGGCCAGCTCCACCCTTGATTGATATAGGGGATGGGGTCAATCATGGACAGAGCTGGCTGGGGGGAGGGGCCACAGTCCAATCGAGGTGGTGGGGGCTGATTGAGGGTGGGGCCCACAGTGGGGAGGGGCTGTGGACGGTGGACAAGTGCTCCCATCCCTGAATGGGGCAGGGGGTGGGAGCAGGGGCCAGAAGCCTGGGGGAGGAGCCAGGGGTGGTGGGGTCAGGTGGAGGGAGAGGCTGCAGGAGGTTGGCTGGCTGGCCCCACCCCCTATTGGTGTGAGGTGGGGCTGCTGGGGAGAGGGGCCACAGGAGGTTGGCCTGCTGGCTCCACCCCCCTATTGGGCCGGTTTGCTGGCCAAAGTGGGCGTCAGAGCAACCAGTCGTTCAGGTCGTTATGGCGTTCCAGTCACTGGCTTTTTATATATAGAGATATTTCTGCTGTTATTTCCACATTGAGATTTTATTATGAGATAGTCATTACAAATACTTTGCTTTGTGATTTCTGTAGCACTTTGGCAAGACACTTGTAATTTTAAACAAATTCTGGATTCGAATCTCTGGCTCTTCCACTTAGTAAATGAAAGAACTTGGACAAATGATTTAATATTTGTGAGTCTTAATTTCCTTTGTACAATAAGAATCTTAGCACTTGGCTGCCTATGGTAAAGCGATAAAGATTATGTAATATAAATTTCCTTTGTAAATCCAAAGGCAATGTACAAATATTGAAATAATATTATTATTTCATCAGTACTTGAGCAAGTATGTCAAGTGTTATTCTATTTCACAAGAAGTGGAAGCTAAGAGATGCTAACCCAAAGTTGGGTAAAACACAAGAGAATGTTCAGTATGTTCTTACCTTGAAGCAATATTGCAATGTGATAAATAACTGAATGCATCCCTTCCTAATGACAGGCCCAAAGTTCTCTGAACTAGTAGGAAAAAAAAGGTTATAATGGTGGTGGGAGGAGGGTGGCTGTACATTATAATAGTTGAAGGACTGTTGATAAATAATGAATTGTTACTCATGGTACGTGGTGCTTTTATTTCAGGAATACTTCCGAGGTCAGGTGAAGCCGGTTGCAGATGCTTTGGCATGGGATGACACTGGAGACCACCTCACAAAGTTATTTTCTTTACATTTTTAAACTAATATCCATTCAATATCTGTTTGCGTGTTTTAAAATGTGTTGAAAAGTACTCAAGGCCCAGCTTTGTGTGTTTTTGTTTTCTAAGGTTACTCCGTGCCTCTGTGTTAGGGCTCGCATGCAAGGTGGGAGACAAAGAAGCCTTGGGCAACGCTTCCCAGTTATTTCAGCAGTGGCTCACTGGGACTGTGAGGTGACTATTCACCGTGTGTTCATTTCCAGAGGACTTTCAACTGCAAAACGAAAAATGGAAATCTCTGAAACACTGTTTATTCTTCTAGGATTCCTGTAAATCTCAGGCTTCTGGTATATCGTTATGGGATGCAGAACTCTGGCAATGAGGCTTCATGGAACTACACTCTTGATCAATATCAAAAAACTCCATTAGCTCAAGAAAAAGAAAAGCTGCTGTATGCATTAGCATCTATCAAGAATGTTACTCTTCTGTCAAGGTAAATTAGAACTTTTTTTTTACTTCTAGCAATTGTATTTTTTTGGTTTATACATCACAGTCTCTTATAGATGTTATTAAAGTATGTTTCCAAGAAAATCTATCAACAATTATTTTCCCTGCAAGAAACAAACTATAAGCCATACCAATGGACATGGACAACAGGGGGATGGGAGCATGAGTGTGTGTGGGGGGGAGGTTGGGGGTTAATGGGGGGGGATGAGGACACATTTGTAATACCTTAACTAATAAAAAAAAAAAAAAAAGAAACAAACTATATGTAATAGTGGCTTAAATAGTAAAGAAATGTAATCTCATACAAAAAAGTTCTAGAGGAAAACAATTTTCAGTTTTCATTGAGGAGCTAGGGTCTTTCCCTTTCTGTTTTGTCATCCTCAATGTCTAATGGATGTCTAATGACTTTCAGAGTTCCAAACATTTTGTCTTCATGCATATATGTTCAATGGAAGGACAGGAGCAAAAGAGTTTCCCCTGTCTTTTATGTTAAGAGATATGTTCTCTCCCTTCCCCTCCTTATCCAGAACTGGGTCATTCCTGATCATTCTGGGTCATACTCTGGGTCTACCACATGATCATTTGTGGACTAGGATGAACTTAAATTCCTTTGACTGATTTGGGTCAATCATGATACTCTGGGGCTGGGGTAGGACTCTAGTTTTTCTACAGTCAAGGAACAAGCCCAGAACAAAACCAGTTTCTGTCAGCAGAGGAAGAGTGTCTGCCACAATATGCATACACACAAATAAAGTTATTTACATTTCACTCAAAAGGTATAAAGATTTCTTGAAGCTTTTCTATGAATCTTCTTCTACTCCACACCTATGCCACAAGTCAACTGACTTCTGCCTTAATTCATTTTTTTGCTTAGTTATCGTTTCTCAGTTACTTCATTCATTTAAACAAATCTTTTAAAAAATATATATAGAGAGAGATTTCAGAGAGGGAGGGAAAGGGAGAGAGATAGAAACATCAATGATGAGAGAGAATTATTGATAGGCTGCCTCCACTACTGGGGATGAAGCCTGCAACCTGGGCATGTGCCCTTGACCAGAATAGAACCTGGGACCCTTCAGTCCGCAGTCCAACGCTCTATCCACCGAGCCAAACCAGCTGGGCCATTTAACCAAATCTTTTGTTGTCCTTTTTATGTATAGGTATATAGAGTGTGAGACTAAAAATGAATAAGATATCTACCCTTGAGAAACATACAGGTTCATGGGAGAGGCAGAATATAAATGATAAATTACCATGCAATAACCAATTTGTAAGAACTACCAGAAACTGTTTTTACCTGGCAGGACCAACAATACACCTTCAACAATGCTATCTTAAAGCAGTCAGTTCTCCTGCTCACTGCTCTAAGATAGTCCACCAAGAACTTGATCATCTTGACAGTCCACAGAGCATCATATTGATCCATTACTTGAATTAGCAAGTACTTAAATGCCTTACTAAGGCTCTTATGAATTAGAGGGTAAAAGATACATTGCACAAACATTCAGGGGCCCCCAATCCAGTGCAGTTTCTGGAAGTTCAATAGTCTACAGCATGTTGAGATATTCCCTTTAGATACAATCATGACATAAATTTAATACAAATCTATTGGTTTGGTCACCTAATCTATTGATTTGGACTTATTTGCATTATAGTATAATTATAATAAACTAATCTAACCACATAGGTTATATTAGGAATTTGTTTTGTACAATCTATGAAAGAACAAATAAGGCAACTTGTATCCCACAGAAAACCCTATATAATAAAGAGCTAATATGCTAATTAGACCAAACAGCAGAACAACCTTCCAGATGAAGCCGGGGCTGTGAGGGCTGACCGAGGCAGGTGGGGCTGCGAGGTCTGAGCCCCTTGCATAAATTTCGTGCATCGGGGCTCTAGTTAGACTATAAATACTTTCTCTTAACATATTGCCTTCTTTTTAATACTTCTAAGTGGATAAAATGCTTCTATTCAATAGGTCCAATTATTATTTTTTATTTTTGTTAGTTACTTATTGGGGTGACATTAGTTAATACAATTATATAGGTTTCAAGTATACATCGTCTGTATATTTCATTATGTGCCCACCACCCAAAGTCAAATCTTCTTTTATCACCGTACATTTGGCCCACTTTACCCTTTACAACCCTTCCTCACCCTGTTGGCCCTCTGGTCACCATTATACTGTTGTCTGTGTCTATGAGTTTTTGTTTGATTGTTCATTTGTTGCTTTCAGTTTTATATCCTACATATAAGTGAAATCATATGGTTCTTGACTTTTTCTGTCTCACTTGTTTCACTTAGCATGATATTCTTAAGATTTACCAGGTTGTCACAAATAATTAATAGTTAAAATGGTGTTTTTATATTGTTTTTAATACTTTCAAAATAATTAAAGTTTTAATATTCCTGTAGTTTACATTTCACTAGTCCTCAAAAATCATAGGTTATTTTTTTAAAAACAGTTAAATAGCCCTAACCGGTCTGTCTCAGTGGATAGAGCGTCAGCCTGCAGACTCAAGGGTCCCAGGTTCGATTCCGGTCAAGGGCATGTACCTTGCTTGCAGGTACATCCCCATTAGGGAGTGTGCAGGAAGCAGCTGATCGATGTTTCTCTCTCTTCAATGTTTCTGGCTCTCTATCCCTCTCCCTTCCTCTCTGTAAAAAAATCAATAAAATATATTTAAAAAAATAAAAATAAATAAAAACAGTTCAATAGAGACGGAGAGGCATTGATTGGACTGTTGGGGCTTGGAGGGAAGATAAGGGAGGATGGGGGTAAGGGAGACAGATCAACTAAAGCACTTAAATGCAAGCATATAGGCCTAACCAATGGACACGGACAACAGGGGGATGAGGGCATGAGCGGGGGGGAGTAGGGGGTAACGTGGGGATAAGGACACATATGTAATATCTTAATCAATAAAAAGTATATTAAAAAAATAAAAACAGTTAAATATTTTAGAAGATTTTAAATTGTGTTTTCTTATTTGTCATATTTAATTAAGTTTGTCGCTTAGTTCCTCAAGGATTGAATTACAGGAATGAAAGCTATGTTCTATTGGAATTCAGCTAAGGGTGAACATTAAACGTTCATTTTGAATTTTTGGCTTCTCTTAGGTATTTGGACTTGCTCAAGGACTCAAACCTTATTAAAAGCCAGGATGTGTTTACGGTCATCCGATATATCTCATATAACAGCTATGGGAAGAGCATGGCCTGGAACTGGATACAGCTCAACTGGGAATATCTAGTCAACAGGTGGGATGATCAGATAATGTTTTGTGCTCTTTGTTGGATACTATCTACAATTCTTTTTCTCTTTACTGTACTTTCTCTGACATCTATACAATATCTGAAATGGCATATCACCAGAGATAATGGATCATGGATTTTTCCCCTTCCAGGGAAGCAATATACTAATTAATTTTCAGCATAATTTCTTTTTGGAAAGTATTGTTTCCACCGGATCTATAGAATTCTGCAATCTGAAGAGATGCCTAAATCACATTATTTTTAGTTTGGTTAAAACAAGTTAATATAATTCTGCCTGTTGTGACAGCACCTAGCATAATGCCAGGCACATATTTAGTTGTCAATGAATATTTAATGAAAACTAAAGAAGAATTCCTGGACCTGGGTTCACATCAGAGCCCTATATCCTACTGAACATATATGATTGATAGCTTTTATCTCCCTTGACCAGATAATTAAACTTTAGGTATTTTGAAAGTTCTTAAGAAGAAACCACTTCCCAGGCAATAACAGTTTTAAAATGTAAAATAGCAAATTAACTAAAGAGTTGCTTTCCCCAGTGTTTTATTTTTTCAGGCCCATACAAAAGAAATATTACTATTCTTGGTTCTGATCCTCTAAATGTAATGCTTATTTCCATTAAAAAGATATTTCTTTTACAGAGTATAAAATAGAATATAGACTATGTATCCCAAACAAATATAAAAACATTGACCAAAAGCACTTCACTGTCTATAATTCCCACACCAGGAAATAGCCTCTGTTATCCCCTTCTAATCTCATCTGTCTTCCCCTCAGCACTGCCTAATTGACTGCCTTATCAGAAATATTAACTATGATGATAACTTTTATTTGTATTCTTTTTCCTACCCTACAATTCACCAGACTGCCATTAGAATGATTCACAGTTCTTATTCTTATAAGATCCAGATTAAATCTCTAGCTTTCAGTCAAGATAATCTACATTGCTTTTTACCTATTGGTGATAATATTTTGCCTTTTCTATTCTTGCAATGATTGATTGTAATAGTTCATCCATCTCTATGAAGATCGATTGATTTATGAGCATGCACACATGATGTTCTGTTCATCTGTTTGTAATCTTATATAATAAAAGCCTAATATGCTAAGTGTCCAACAGATCATTCAACAGTTTGACTGGTCGCTATGGTGTGCACTGAACACCAGGGGGCAGACGCTCAGATCAGTAGGTTAGCTTGCTGCTGGGGTCTGGCATCGGGACTGAGCGAGATGGGCCGGACATGCCCTGGAACCCTCCTGCGGTCCCTCCCCAGCCCTGACCATGCACCAGTGGGGTCCCTCGGCCTGGCCTGCACACTCTTGCAATCCAGGACCCCTCGGGGGATGTCAGAGAGCCGGTATCGGCCCAATCCCGACAGGCCAAGGGACCCCACCAGTGCATGAATCTGTGCACCGGGCCCCTAGCTGTTTCAATAAAATACTCGGTTTAGAATTAATAAATCTACCTATTTAGAACATGTTATCTGGGGGTAACATTTCATATTATGAAATATGATACCTTCCATTTTGGAAGGTATATGCCTACTGACAAATACTGTATATTTTGTTTTAATTGAAAAGACTATAAAACTTTTTTTGGCATATACTGCAAGAAACCTATGTAGATAAAGAATAATGCTTACTTTTGAATTATTGTGAAAAGATAAGTAAATTATGTTCATTTTGCAAATTGCTTATTAAGTAGAGTATTTCTCAAGGCCTATTTAAATAGCTCTGTAATTTATTTCAAATAATGCATTTTTCATTTAAAAAAATTAGTTCATTGTTATTCCTCTTTAAAAATTAAGAAGTAGAAAAAAACAGGTGTTGCCCTAGCCAGTTTGGCTCAGTGGATAGAGCGTGGGTCTGCAGACTTAAGGGTCCAGGGTTTCAATTCCAGTCAAGGGCACATGCCTGGGTTGCGGGCTCCATCCCCAGTAGGAGGTGTGCAGGAGGTAGCCAATCAACGATTCTCTCTCATCATTGATGTTTCTGTCTCTCTCTCCCTCTCCCTTCCTCTCTAAAATCAATAAAAATATTAAAAACAAAACACAAATAAAATCAGGTGTTACCTTGCCATAAAAGTCATAAACATCTGGCCTTAAAATAAATTTATTAGACATAATACTGAATTTTTTTCAAGAAAATTAATTGATAAACAATTTCCAGTGCTAGCTCCAAAGGCTAGCTCACCCAAGGCTTTTAATATTTCTTCATAGTCTAGTGATCTAATTCTCATTGGGTATTATTTCAAATTGCCTAATGCACAACATTATGTAATAACCACATGTTGGACACACACAATGCACCATATTAATGATGGTTAGTTTGAATAAATAGAATATTCCTATTAAAATTGGATGTGACCAATTAAACATAAATTAGCCAAGTTTTATCCAACTATTTCTAAACTCTTGAACATTTTCCAGACTTCAAAATGAGTGGATTTACTGCCTCCATTTTTATAAAGTTTTTGTCATGTGATTTTTATGACAATTGATGGCCACACCACTAATGTTTTTTCCAGTCTGAGGCTTAACCACAAAGTTCCAAAGATTCTTCAGAATTTATTCTTTGCTTTTTTTTATTTCACTAAACTCTTAGATGAAACTGTGAAGTTGGATAAACCCAATAAATCAGTAGTGTGGTATGAAAAGTATGGTTTTAATTTATGACTATAGCTGAAATATTAAGTCAATGGAATATGACTAAAGCCATTTAAACACTATCTCACAAGCAAAAATAATTTAATAAAAGTTTTGTATGTATCAAAATCATTTATTTTGGGAAACAATAATACTTCAGTTAATATTAAGTCTAAGAAGACTATTTTTTATATAATTATATTTCAGAATATTTAAGATATAATTAAATTCTTATTTTAGTTTTAAACTAATCAATATAATAAGTATATAACGTATTTTTCCTTAAATGATACACTTTATGTGATATTGGTTTCTTGGGAATGAACATATTTTGTTCTTATACTTCTAATATTTATACAGGTAGTTATAGTTTTTATTCAATCCATTCATTGTTGGTTCCCAAATATATCCTTTAATTTTTAGCTTCTAAGAACAAAATACAACAAATATTACAGAAATTATGGAAGGTTAATCTGTAGGATATCATGATAACAACTTTCCTTTCTTAAATTCCTTTATTTATTTATTTATTTATTTATTTATTTATTTATTTATTTATTTATTGTTGGCACTATTATAGGTGCCCCCCCATTTTCCTCCCCATTATCCATCTCCACCCAGCCCCAGGCTCCCTCTCCCTCTAGCCTTTACCACACTGTTGTCTGTGTCCATGGGCTATGCTTATATGTTTTTGGCTAATCTCTTCACCCTCTTTCATCCAGTCCCCCCATCTCCCTAAGTCCCTATTTTCTTATTATGAGTATACTAGATGCTCGGTGCACGAATTCCTGCATGGGTGGGGTCCCTTGGGGGTGCTGCACCACCAGCCTTGTAGCCCCACCTGGCAATCCGCCTTGGCCTGGCACCGCCCCTTCACCTGCTCCACCATCCCGCCTGTGGGGTGATTAGTTGGGGCCAGGCCCCCCGCCTGGCTCCCTCAGCACCTGGGAGTCTGGTAACGGCCCCATGCCCTGTCACCGCTGCGGCTGGTTGCCATCTATGGGGTGATCAGCAGGGAAATTGGGCCCCTGCTCGCACCAACCTTGGCCTGGCGCTACCCGCTCACCTGCTTCACCGTCTTGCTGTGGTCCTGCTCTCGTTAGGGCCCATCAGGGCCAGCAGCACCTTCACTGCTGCCCACTGCCAGTGCTGTGTCACTGAAGCCTTCCATGTTCCGCACCGCCCCCTGGTGGTCAGCACACGTCATAGTGAGCAGTTGAAGTCCCAGTCTTTCTGTCTAACCATCGGTTGAACAACTGTCTTAGGGGACAATTTGCATGTTAGGCTTTTATTATATAGGATGTTGTTTTGTACAAAATGCAGATAAGCAAAAATCACCCATAATTCTACCACCCTGTTGTCACACTAAAATTTCACTAAGATTTTTTTCTTGGGTCATTTTTTTATGGCTGTTTATTTATTTATTTACAGGAATGGAATCATATTATATATATATATAGTTTTATAAGATATCTCTCCATGTCTTTAAGTATGCTTTTTCAGGGTTATTTTTAATGCTCAATTATATTTCAACTAGAGGCCTGATGCATAAAATTCATGCAAGAGCAAGCCTTCCTTCCCCTGGTTGCTGGTACCCGTTTCCCTCTGGCACCCGGGACCCAGACTTCCCTCTGGCTGCCAACAGGAACCTGAGACTCGGGCTTCCATCGCAGCCCCGGCTTCGTCCGGAAGGTCGTCCAGAAGGACGTCTGGTCTAGTTAGCATATTATGCTTTTATTATTATAGATGTGTAGGTACATCTTAGTTTATTTAGCCCATCTCCAGCTGTTGGATAACAGTATTGTTCTAAATTTTCCAGTATATAAATAATGTGCTGATGAGCATCTTTGAAACTGAATCTTTTTAATAAATTGACCTATTTTTCTAACCCTTGCCAATAGCCAGTTTTGTCATTTCAAAACTTTCTTGCTATTAGAATACATGAAACCTGATATCTCATTTTTAATTATAATTCTCTCATCCAATAATCTTATCAGCATCAACTATGTCTTAGACACTGTGTTTGGCAGTAAGATACAATGGTAAGGAAAAACAAACCTGGTTCCTTGTTCTCATGGATCTTAGAATCTAGTGATGGAGACCAATACTAAGTAAAGAATCACACAAATCCTATACAATAAAGAGATAATATGCAAATTGACCCTCACTCCATCACGCTGTCACAAGATGTCTGCACCCACAGCGGAGATGGGGTTCCTGTAATGAGTGATCAGCAGGGACCTGCGGCTGTGTGGCGCTGGGCTGGGGTGGGGGACTTCAAGCTGTGCCCTGGTGCTGGGCCGAAGGACCTCAGGCTGCACACCCTGCCCCAGTGCTGGGCCAGGGAACCTCAGGCTGCACACCTTGCCCCAGTGCTGGGCCAGGGAATCTCAGGCCACACCCCTCATCCCCGCGCTGGGCCGGGTGACCTGAGGTCGTGCTCCTGGTCCATCAGGAATTGATGGGGGACCTCAGGCCACACCCCCTGCCCCGGTGCCGGGCTGGGGGACCTGAGAGTGTGCCCCCCACCCAGCACTGGACTGGGGAACCCTGAGACTGCACCCCCCCACCTGGTGGGGCTTGATGGGGGACCTGAGACTGTGCCTCCCACCCAGCAGGGCTTGATGGGGGTGGGGTTGGCCAGGTCTGGGTGTTACCCCATGAGAATGGGGCTGGCCAGGTCTGGGTCTTGTGCGATTTTGAGATGCACATGGGTGGGCGAGGACTTGACTCTGGGTCCCGCAGCATGCCCCAGACTCTGACAGGAGGAAGATTTTCATATATATTTTACTAATTTTCTTTTATCTCTGACACTTCTATTATAGAGAAAGGGCAAATAGCAATATTAAAATATTTCTTCTAATTCAGTGGGTCTCAAACTTCTTAATGCCACGACCCTTTAATACAGTTTCTCATGTTGTGATGACCCCCAACCATAAAATTATTTTCGTTGCTACTTCATAACTGTAATTTTGCTACTGTTATGAATCATAATGTAAATATCTGACATGCAGGATGTATTTAGGTGACCCCTGTGAAAGGGTTGTTTGACCCCCAAAGGGGTCGCAACCCACAGGTTGAGAACCGCTGCTCTAATAAATTCCCTTTTAATGTGCATGAATTTCATGCACTAGGCCACTAGTACATTAAAGATGTAATAATTACAAACAGAAGAGTTTCAAGGCACATTGAAAGAGTATAAAGGGAAAAACCAACCAAGTCTAGAGAAGTTGGAGATTAAGGGCTTCCCTAAGGAAGTGATGTTGCATTGAATTTTGAAGGAAGGGCAGGAGTTAACTAGGTCAACAGAGGGTGAAGCATTCTTGGATGAATGCTTTCTATCAGAAGAGAGGGATCATAAAGGCCAAGTTTTGCAGGGCTTTTGTTCTAAGAGCAATAAGTTCAGTTTTTTATATATAACTAGAGGCCCAGTGCATGAAATTCATGCACTGGGAGGGGGAGTGTCCCTCAGCCCAGCCTGCACCCTCTCCAATCTGGGACCCCTCGAGGGATGTCCGACTGCCGGTTGAAGCCCGATTCCTGTGGGATCGGGCCTCAACCGGCAGTCGGGCATCCCTCTCACAATCCAGGACTGCTGGCTCCCAACTGCTCGCTTGCCTGCCTGCCTGATCACCCCCTAACCCAGTGATGGCGAACCTTTTGAGCTCAGCATGTCAGCATTTTGAAAAACCCTAACTTAACTCTGGTGCCGTGTCACATATAGAAATTTTTTGATATTTGCAACCATAGTAAAACAAAGACTTATATTTCTGATATTTGTTTTATATATTTAAAAGCCATTTAACAAAGAAAAATCAACCAAAAAAATGAGTTCACGTGTCACCTCTGACACACGTGTCATAGGTTCGCCATCACTGCCCTAACCACTTCCTTGCCAGCCTGATCGACAGCTGCTTCCCTGAATGCCCGATTGCCCCCAACCTCCCTCCCCCTGCCAGCCCGGTTGCCCCTAACTGTCTTCTCCTGCTGGCCTGGTTACCCCTCACTGCCCTCCCCTGCTGGCCTGATCACCCACAACTGCCCTATCCTGCTGGCCATCTTGTGGTGGCCATCTTGTGATGACATGGGGGCAGCCATTTTGTGTGAGGGTGTGATGGTCAATTTGCATACTACCTCTTTATTATATAGGATACTTAAAAAAAAAAACCTTTACCCAAGGACATGTTTTTATTGATTTGTGAGAGAGCAGGAAGGATAGAGAAAGAAACATCAATGTGAGAAACATTGATGGGTCGCCTCTTGGGCCGCAACTGGGAATTGAGCCCAAAACTTGGGTATGAGCCCTGACTGGAAACCACAACCTTTTGATGTACTGGACAATACTCCAACCAACTAAGTCGCCTGCCCATGGCATATATGTAATGTTTTTGATTCTCTTTTGAGATGTTAAAGTGAAAATTGTTACAAGGACATTATAATTCCTTGTCAAATGCTGCTTAATGTTTGAGTAAACTGAAGACTAAAAAAAAATGCTCATTAGATTTATTTGCATAAAATCTAATAATAACTCTAAAAAGAGTTTTCCAGTGGAAAGATGGTGGAATAATCTAAATTAAAGCAAATGAATGGGTGGTGAGGAGACGGAGACAAGGACTGCAGAGAAATATCTTGACTATAAATGAAGAGATGAGAGAAAGGAAATTGAGAGAGATGCCAGATCAAGGGAAAGGGTTTAATTTTTAGGAAAATATTTGCTCTTTTTACAACAAAGTAATAAATTTCGACTTTTAGTTTCATGGCATTTTTAGGATAAAACTGAAAAATGTGTATGCAACAAATGTGATCAATTTTCATCTTTTTAGTTTCTGCTTTTGCTATGTAATCATTTTTAATGTAAAATTTCTCCTACTGATAGTTGATTGCTTTATCTATTGATGTATTTTATTTTATCCTTTCCCAACATTTCAGTGGTTCACATTTTATATGCATTTTTGTGGCTGTTTTTCCTCTTATACTGTGATTAATCGTGATGAGATGCTGACTTGTATAACAAAGCTTTTCTAAAGCAAGAAATAAAAATAGCCTATTTTCAAATGTCTGTACTGCAGGAAGAGGCATAGAGTATTAGTTAAGGTAAAGGTGGTAGAGTTTTCCTGCTGTAACAGAACATAGAGATCAGCAGCTGGAATGATACAAGTAATTATTTCTCATTCAGGTTAGTCTCCTGAAGTGAGCATTCCAAGTTGTTACATGGTTTTGCTCCTTGAATCCTAGGGCCTTATCCTAACGGTGTGGTTGAAATTTGGAGGAAAAAAAACCCAAGAGCTCTAAGGCAAGCAAATTCTTTCACTTAGCAAGGAGGTGAAAGTTGAACATATCCCTTCTGCTTGTGTCCCATTGATAACAATTGGTTCACCTGTTTGCACCTGGCTATGAGGGAGGCCGAGAAATGTCGTCTCTAGCTGGGTTCTCGTGTGCACAGAAGAGAGGAGAGCTGGTTTGGGTAACACAGCAAGCAGTCTACCACTTCTGGGAGAGTTAATGTGAATCTACCTACACAAAAAGGTGTGGAGTTTACAAAGAATTTCTCCTGAATAGAGTTATTTTAAATTAAATGTTTTGCTCACTTTGAAAATTACTTTTACAAAACCCCATAAAATAAAAAGCAAATGTTTGCATCCAGAGGAAAAATGTGAAGTTCTGTGTACTGATATTCCCTTTTACTGCCCTAAATTTCTCTTCAGATTCACACTCAATGACAGAACCCTTGGCCGGATTGTCACAATAGCAGAGCCATTCAACACTGAACTCCAGCTCTGGCAGGTATGGGGACCGATTCCTCTAGACTTGTCTCAGAAGTGACAAAAGTCGCTTTTCTAAAAATCAGAGATGGCATTTTCTCTATTAAGATCAGAGAAGACAAGGATAAAGAAATAATCCCTATATCTAATTAAATGTATACCTATATTTTCTAAACTGAAAAAAAATTTCAAATAAGCAAGAAACAGACAAGGTTTGAAACTTGAGAAAGGTGAGCTTTAGATGTCTGCATGAGACCATCCTGCTTATAACACATGAACATCATGTCTCTCCTCTCCTGGCAAATGTCACCCTGGAATAAGTTGGTCGAGATGTGATTTTTTTCAGAATTCATCACTTTGGAATTTCAAAACTTAACCAAAAGCTTCAAGGTTTCAAACATGTCAGTTCCCAGAGGGAAAAAATGTATATTCATGTTGGACACATTGTATGGACTTTCTGTGTATTAGATATCGGAATGTTAACATTCTTCTCTGTGTTAAGAAACAAAATAGTTCTTATTTTTGTAAATAGTAAATAATACTAGAGTTGAGCTTTGGGGAGGGTTTTGGAGGAAATTGGAAGGATAGAACCAGGTTTAACAAAGATTTTTTTATGAAAAAATTTTTTTTTCAGCCCTAACCGGTTTGGCTCAGTGGATAGAGCCCCACCCCAGCATGTGGACTGAAAGGTCCCGGGTTTGATTCCCAATCAGGGCACATGACCGAGTTGCAGGCTCGGTCCCCAGTAGCGTGCGTGCAGGAGGCAGTCAATCAATGATTCTCTCTCATCATTGATGTTCCTCTCTCTCTCTCTTCCTTTCCCTTCCTCTATGAAATCAATAAAAATATATATATTTTTAAAATTTGTTCCATTCACTTAACAAGTGAACTGGAAGTATATTAAAATGCCCCTGCCCCCTGGGATGAAAGGCTAAGCAAAGCCATCATTCCACAAACCAGATCTCCAAGGACTGCCCTGAGGCATGCACAGGAAGTAAAGAAACCAGCAGAAGCAGGAATGGGCATGCCAGCTGCTATTATGCTGTCCTTCCTCCCCAATATGTTGGAGTCTCTAGTGGCTTGACGTGCTGTCAGGCGTCCAAGAGCCATGGATGATTATGGCTGTTCTGAGAGGCAGGCCCAGTCTAAATGATGGACCAAAAGATGCATCTCAATGTGCCGTGATACTGAATTTCCAGGGAAGAAGCAAACAGATCCAGTTTTGTAAATAAAATCCTAGAAGAATAATTGTGTTTAAAATGACTTCCTTAATTATTTTCCTCTCTTTTATAGATGGAGAGTTTCTTCAAAAAATACCCAGAAGCTGGAGCAGGAGAAAAACCTAGGCAACAAGCGCTGGAAACAGTGAAGAACAATATCGAATGGCTAAAGCAAAACAGGAAGAGCATAAGCGAGTGGTTTTTGGCATTACCCAGGAGTGGATAAGGTGTTCAAAGAGCATTTTAATTTTGTAAAGGTCTTGTTTCTACTATTAAGCATTTGGTGACCCAATTTACAAGCTCTGTGGAGGAACCTTATACACAGATACTGCTTTCACTAAGGCATGTACTCAGGGATTTCTTCTAAGTGTACTTCATAGGAGATTCTTTACCAATGGAAGAGAATTTAATAGCCATTGGAAATGTCTTTAAATATCACTCTTTGTATTTTAAGTCTGTGAAAATAGAACAATTTGGTCCTAGCTTTACATTTTTAGTGCCAAAGAAACACCACTAATCTTTTCTCTTGATTGATTTTTTTTAAAGTTTGAATACCCGTATTTGAGGGACCAATATTACCATCTTAAACTTCATTTTATGATTCAGAATTATACAGCTCTAATACCATTTTATTCACATATGTCTTATTCCTTTAAATCCTACCAAAGTAACTGGGCTTAAATTTTACTTAAGAATTGTATGAATTAGCCAAAGAAGTGGCTGGCTGTTGGCGTTGCTCTTGTAAAATCAACGAGAACCCTCCTCTCCTTTTGAAAATAAATCTGAATGATTACCTTGAAAAAAAAAATGTTTTTCTGTGTCACTTTACTCTTGAATAATAACAGCTGCAGTGTTCCCCAAATAATTTAGCACAATGCAACGCTGATTCAAGAACTCAGCCTTTTTCATGCTTGCTACTGCATCAACTTGTTCCATTCTCTGCAAAGCTCCCTCAAATATGCTATGAAATTAGAGGGAAGATAGTGCTTAACTCTGCTCCATGGCTTTTAAGGAAAAGGGGGAAATAATTGGAAACTGGTCAGGAAGAAGCAAAGGCTGATTGTTCTATAAAACTAAATGGAATTAGAATTTAGTTTCAACCTAACCTAACAATCTAAGTGTGAAAATGAGGAGACTCATGGGTAGCTCCAGCATGACTCTGCATATCTGAAGATACATCTTCTTATAGTAACATTTATGTATAAACCCCTATCCTAATCCATACAGAATAGCACGGATCACATTTATATCTGTAACTTGATTAAAGACATCAGTTATGTTTAATATGGTACTTGATGCCTAGTTGATCCACAATTTAAGTCCAGTAAGCAGAAAAGATGGTTAAATTACTATGATCCAATCTGCTATCTCTAGAAAATCTAAATTTATTGGAACCTTCAGAAGTATAAGATTATTTAAGATTGGCTTGATGGTAATTGAAGCACAGGAAAACCATCCAAATCTTAGCTTTGACTTTATTTACATAATAATATGCCCTAATCGAGTTCTCTCAAACTTTCTTACTGCTGTCTCTCGTCATTCCTCAGTCCACACAGCTAAATTGAAATATTCAAATATAGACTGGGAAGAAATAAAAAAATAAAAAGAAAGAGATTTCCAGACCAAAACTTTAAAAATATTATTTTAAATTACTTCAGAAGAAAAAAACACATCAGCACCATAAATCATCAGTGTGCTCATGGGGATTTAAACTCTAACTTCCAATTAACCACAATCCAAACCAGCACTTGAAGTCTCTGTATTATTTCAAGTATACAAATAAGGAAGAAGGGTGGCTTATCTTTGTGCTTTATGTAATAAATTAACTTTTAAAGAAAAAAATGTAAGATGATAAGTAAAAAAGATTTCAACTTGTCTACCTGTTCATTTTATTTTAAGCAGTGAAATTGAGAATGAGCTGGTTAGTTCTCTTTACCGACGTGAGGAAGAGCTCTGTACACTTTACCATAATTACTCCCCTGGCCCATCAGGCCCTTCTCAAACAGTATCTGGTTTTCAAAATGTTGATGACCAGCCCTGGCCACTGTGGTTCAGTTGTGTGGGTGTCGTCCTGTGCACCAAAAGGTTGCCAGTTCAATTCCCTGTCAGGGTGCATGCCCAGGGTGAGGACTCTAGCCCTGGTAGCGGGTGTGCAGGAGGCAGTTTGATCGATGTTCTGCTCTCACATCAATGTCTCTCACTCTGTTCCTCTTCCTTCCTCTCTCTCTAAAAAAATCAATTAAAAAATCTTGAAAAATAAAATAAAAGGCTGATGACCAATAGACCTGTGCCAAGCACAACTTGCTACTGTACTAACTTGGTTTTGCCACAGTTTTCACAAGGGGAAAAATTAGTACATTGTTTCCAAAATTAAACTACAGTAAAACCACCAACTTTAAAAATGTAGCTGGAAAAAAACGATCAGCAAGGTCATATAGCAAGAAGCAGGACCAGTGATACTACCTTCACTCTAGGCCGCCTACTCCTGTGTTTCAGACCATTGCCATGCACCCACATAAAGTAAGCCAGAACTTTAAATAATAAATGATGAATGTGAATATGACAAGCAAGGAAGGTCTGGGAAACAGAGATATACAGCAGGGTTGAAAGCAATGGCATTCCTACAGTTCACCTTCCATGCTGGTGAAGTATTAGTCCAGAAATATATAAATATCCAGAACAGTAATTCTCAAAGGAGGTTAGGAATAAGGAAGAAACAAAAGGAAGGGGAGTAGAATTATCAATGGAGTTTTCCAAAACACTGCTAAATAACAATAGTAACAATACTAGCAAGCACTTCTTTTTATTTTATTTTATTAATTAATTTATTAATTTATTATTGATTTCTGAGAGGGAGAGGGAGAGAGAGAAACATCAATGATGAGAGAGAATCATTGATCGGCTGCCTCTTGCACTGCCCCCCTACTGGGGACTGAGCCCGCAACCTGGGCATGTGCCCTTGACGGTAATCAAACCCGGGACCCTTCAGTCCACAGGCAGATGCTTTAACCACTGAGCAAACCAGCTAGGGCACAAGCACTGCTTTTAAATTACCAGGTACTGTTCTAAACACTAGCACTCCGCATGCGTTAATTTTTACATTTAAACTTTACAAAAAACCTATGCGGTGGTACTACTACCTCTAATTTACAGATGCAGAAACAGAAGTTACAGAACTTGCCCAAGGCCATAAAAGTAGTAACTGGCACCAGCCAGGATTTAGACGTAGGGAGTTTATCACCAGAGCCTACGTTCTTAACCACTCTGTTAAAGTAGAAACACACACATTAAAATGAGGGTGATCATCTTAGCTGGTTTGGCCCAGTGGATAGAGCATTGGACTGTGGATTGAAGGGTCCCAGGTTCGATTCCAGTCAAGGGCACATGCCTGGGTTGCGGGCTCAATCCCCAGCTAGGGGTGTGCAGGAGGCAGCTGATCAATGATTTTCTCTCATCATTGATGTTTCTATCTCTCCCTCTCCCTTCTGCTCTGAAATCAATAAAAATATATTTAAAAAGTAAAATGAGAGTGATCTGGGTTTGAATTCAGCTATTTGGCAGTCCAGTGCCCTTAATCTCTTTATTGTTCAGTTTCCTCATCTATAAAGTGGGGATAGAAATAATTACTACCTCAACGAGTTGTTGTGAGAATTGAATGCAAAAATGCATGGAGGGGATGCATGTTTGGAAAACAAACATTCATTGAACATTAGATGTGTTAACATAAAAAAACAAACAGAGCCTTGACTGGTTTGGCTCAGTGGATAGAGCCTCAGCCTGCGGACTGAAAGGTCCCAGGTTCGATTCAGGTCAAGGGCATGTACCTTGCTTGCGGGCACATCCCCAGTGGGGGGCAGCTGAATCGATGTTTCTTTCTCATCGATGTTTCTAACTCTCCCTCTCCCTTCCTCTCTGTAAAAAAATCAATAGAAATATATTTAAAAAACAAGCAAACAAACAAAAAAACCCCACAGAAACCAGCCTTGAAAACTCCCTGAGCAGACCAAACCAGGCCATATACACAAACTTGACCTCGGTCGTTTCTTGTTATACCTCTGGGAATCATAAACTAAACAGTGTTTTCCAAGGCTGATATGAGGTAATCACTAGCCAACTCCCTATCATGTAAGAAAATTCTAATATAACCCATCACTCTGAAAAATAGACACTGTCTTCTCACTGTATAAGCCGCTTTATAACAATAAACCCCTAAACCTCATTCCATGTTTCGGTTTGAGTGCTCCCAGTTCTTGAACTATCTTTCTGGTGTGTGCACAATACATTTTTACTAATTACTACATTAGTGATTCATTGGCTATACTTCGGCTGTTTCTGAACTTTTGACAGATGTTATTATTGTTACTATTATGATATCCCCCAGCCCCCACTTCAGACACTAGTTTGGAGAACATCATAAACTTGGTTCAGGAATAAGCAAGCCTAAGCAACTGCAGGCACTTAGGAGAGGCAATGTGTCAGACTGTTATTGTTCACAAATCATCACTCCGCTCACGAGGACCTGGTTTAAGGCCAGCATGGGCCGGTGACGTGCTCTGGCTAGGGAAATAGGAGTGAAAGTGAAATATGTCGACGTCGGGCAGGAAAGTTCAGAGCCAGCACCTGGCTTGCCATGTTCTACATTCTCCTTCTGCCACAAGGTCCAGCGATGCTCCAGATAGAGGCTGCCCTTTTAGCCTGAATTCAGAATGAAAACAGCAGGGAACAGAATTTCACCAGCGCGGCGCACGCGCATGGCAACTCACTGAAATTTTGAGGTTGCCTGTTACCTCAGCATCGTCCAGCCTCACCTGCCTAATATAATTACCAGAGCCATTTATTTCCAGTTCTTACTCCTCCTCCTTCCTCTACCAGGGCTTAGCAAACTTTGCATACTTATCTTTGTAAGACCCTCAAGCTGAAAATAGTTTTTACATTTTAAAATGGTCGAAACACAATCAAAAGAAAAATAATAGTTCATAGCACATGGAAATTCTATGAAATTCAAATGTCAGTGTCCTCCAAGTTTGTTGGAACACAGCCACACGCTTTCATTTATGTATTGCCCCTGGCTAGTTTCCTGCTACAACAGCAGTGCCGAGTGGTCACAGTAGAAATCTTATGGTCTGCAAAGCCTTTATTTTATAAAATATTAAATATTTTAATATTTACCCTCTGTGTCTTTTACAGAAAAAGCTTGCCGACCCCTCCTGGATCTCATCTTTACTCCTCTCCTTTTGCATCCATATTTTTCCTTCCTTCCCCCCTTCTTCTTCCATACTCAAGGGCTTCTCACTATTGACTGGTGGGGCCTGTTAATTCTTTGTTGTGGAGGGCGAGCCTGCACATGGAGGAGGCTCACATCCCTGGCCTCTATCCTCTAGCTGCCATTAGCACCTCCCCCAACCAAAAATGTCTTCAGACATTGCTTAATGTCCTCTAGATCTAGGAGGCCAAATCAGCCCAGTTGAAAATCACTGCCCAATCTTAAACTTGTGACTAGATGCTGCAGGCATTATTTAGCCATGCTACATGGCAGGTATGGGGAATGCTGCTGACAGAGCAATTCTGCCTGGAGTTTTTGGGTTATTTTTCAAAATACATTTTTAATGATTTCAGAGCAGAAAGAAGAAGGAGAGAGAGATAGAAACATCAATGATGAGAGAGAATCATTGATCAGCTGCCTCCTACTGGGGATTGAGCATGCAACCCTGGCATGTGCCCTGACCAGGAATCAAACTGTGACCTCCTGGTTCATGGGTAAGTGCTCAGCCACTGAGCCACACTGACCGGGCCTGCCTGGAGTTATATTAACAGAAGAACCAGCCCCAGCCAG